TCTCGTACTCACGGAAGGAATCCTCCATTTTGAGAACCTGTGGAAGAAGAGCATTTCGCATGTCATAGTTGGGCCATTGCATGATCAGATGCAAAAGGGCTAACGCTCTGTTCCTGGACGTCGGCTGACATGTTTTGAACAGCTGCCGCACTGCTTCTACTCCATTTCCTTGTTCAACACCTTTCAGCAAAAGAAGTGGCCGCTGACGCATCAGCGAAGCAAGTAAACCATATAAGAATCCGCTTCTCTTCGTTCTATCCGGCGACTGCTCGACCAAGGGCTGTTCTTCGTCCATGTGCGAACGAATGTGGTCAAAATCACCAGAAAACTTCGGATCCACTGCTACAACATATTGCTCGACTTGCCACCACCAGTCACGGAACTGTGACAGCTCTGCCTCGCGATCTTTTGGATCGAACATTCCAGGTTTCGGCAACACCTTAAACCAATCGCCACCTGTTGCTGGCGATGAACTCAAACTTGGAGACATAGCGTTCACAGCCATCGTTGCTGCAGTAGCTGCACTAGCTGCTGCTTCAGCTGCCTGCACCATTCTCCTGGCGATCTCTGCGCCATCCAAACCAGTAAGACCCTGGCCTGCTGATGCGGCCGGGCTCCCATCTGCCGTCGGACTGCCAGCTGCGCTCATTGAGCAAAATCCCTGAGTTGTACCCTAGATTCCAGCTGTAAAAACCAATGGCAGTATGGCTCGAGTCGCACCCAACAAACGGGCACTACAACCAACCTAGCCGGATGCCCTCACCGCAGTGTTTGCGGATCCTCGGGCTCCGCTACCATCTAAACTCCTTTTGAAACACCAAAGCCTCGGACATCACACGCATTCAACTGCTCATGCGTTTTGCATGACTGTTCTATTTTGGTTTGGTTTGCACCACATTGTGTGGAGTTGTTTTCAACTAGCAAACACTGTCACCAACGGCTAAAGCGGCATGGAAACATCTAGTTACTCTTCCAATCTTTTTTTAATCCTCCCATTTGATATTACGCACTTCACTTTTCTCGGGGACAAATCAATTGAATCCATAATTCATCCATCTGCAACTTTGCGCATCTATACATTCTCAACCTGATACAGGTTTCATCCATGCAGTTGAAAACATCCACCACACAGGTAGCACAATACTCCCACTTCAGTTACGGCAACATTACCATTGTACCAACGACTGTGCAAAAGTACACACCGGCATCGTAGCTTCGAATAACTCGAGGCCAGAAAAATCATCTCTGCTCGGACCATCAGCAATATTCGAATCGGAGGGCACTCTCGCAAACCAAAAATATGTAGGGCCCCTCATCTCAATATATTCCAAACTCCGCAGCAACTCTCTCCACTCTCTCTCTCTCTCGGAAGATGTCCCTTTGATAAGAGATCTCATCGACGGTATGATAACTCGGCGACCTTTCAAGAAAATATACCAATGATATCTCGCCAAAACAACCGCATATAATTCCACCAATCCAAAAATATACTTCTTGCCATCCATCCACCTGGTTACCAAAGAACCATCGAGGCGTCCACCAAAATATTGTCTGGTACCGCCGCATATCAAAACTCCTCCAACCGATGCCACATACGAGCCATCATCGGCCAGCTCGCACGCACCAGCCACACTCCGGAAAAAAAATGGCTGAGGAAAAACGACCGCAGTTTCAGCCGTGTTTACGCAGTTTGAGAACCAGGAATAGAATTTCCTCAACCTGTGAAGACGGCTCAAGGCTTCGTCTGACGTGAGAAATTACAGAACCGTAACAGACACGTTACTTTAAAGGGACTTAGTGTCAACTGACTGACCTTCGTGTTTGGCCTGTGTGGTCTGAGCGAAAAGTTGCTGAGCCAGCGTTGGTACTTGAGAAGTGTCAGGGTTGAACGAACCTGTTTCTTTGTCCTTTAGGCGCTGCGCGCTACGCTGCCCCTTGTAGTGTACGAGTTTCGCAACTTTGATGCCGAGCAATCATTCGGAAAAAAATTGCAGCTGTTCACAACATTTACTGAAAACCGTCCATGTTCATTCATTCAGCTTGTTCAGATGCACCGACTTGTTGTGTTTTGTTTTTGGTTTTGAAGTTTGTTTTAATTTTCGATGGCGGTCAGAATATATGTCACCACGTCGTATTGCGTACGCGTTGGTTGTATAAACTTGTTCCTTGCGTACGGTCCATTGCCTCCAAAAATAACTGTTGCTAATCCATTCTTTCCTATTATTAGAACTACCCTCCAAAAAAAAACAATAGGATTGGTGTGGCATTTCCATTCTTTTGGTTCGGCAGAATTGGATTCTTCATTGTGGTAATTGAGAATCAATAGGGGGACAGGATGGTGAAACAATGGGTTCAACCCCGTACTAATAAAAATAAATTGCCACCCGGATGTTTTTTTATTAGGGTCCCATCTCACAAGTTTCATTGTTTTTAACATCAAGGTATTCATTGGAATATTGCGGGAACGCTTCGAAATCGAGTTTTTTGGCAATATTTTATATAGATATTAAAATATTATATAGATATTAAAATAAGAGATTTCATCCTTCACAGGCGCTCTTAGCTGAAGTTTGCAACAGGTCAAGAAATCATTGCATTCAAACATGGCAATGTAGAGATATGAGAAGTGAAACGGAGTATGCAATGCCCACCAAGGATTCTGCAACCTCTGGCACAGCCACCCGGCTAGCCAGCTGGCTCACAATTGGAGTCCGCTGTGGTTGTACAAGGGAACAGCCAATGACAGCTGGGCCGGTAGCCGGGCTGTTGAACTCCAGGGAAAAATCAAACCTCCAAAAAGAAAAACTAGCAGTAGCAGATTTTGCTAAAAACTGGTGAGGGAGCGGCTCCAAAAAGAGCACGTGGAAAACGCACCAGCAGGCGAAATAAATTCAGGTCTGTTTTTTTTTCTCTGGTTTGGCCGATGTCGCTCTAAGGGTCGGTCCTGTAATTGGTATAAGCAGATAAAACGAATTTAAACGCGTCGACTGAAACGCAGTGGTTCCAGCTGTACAATAAAATAAGTGACAAAAAAGCTATGAACAACCACGAGCAAACAGAAACCAAGACACCAGACGACCCGCAAATCCGCCAGCCAGATTGTGTTTCGCCACAGAAACGAAAAGCGGAACAACAAGAGAAGGGGGCCGGGGCCCAACACAAAACCAAACCAACACACACGGTTGCCACTATGGAAATTGCAGCATTGTCTTCCATGGTGGGGTCCCCAGAAGTAGTCTACAGAGGGGGGAATGGCAAATGGGCGTGTGAGCGTGGGCGTGTGAGTGCAAGGTTAGTAAAACGCAATGGATCATCCAACGACCAACTGTCAAAATTGAAACTGCCGAAAACTGCCTTCTCTCAAAAAACTGTCATTCCAAAAAAAACGACATCTGAAATAAACATGTGCAAGTCACAAACTGCATCTGACTGAATGAATGAAAACGAAAGCCACTCGCACCAACTCTTTTTGACCAGGGGGGATTGGACATCCTGCGCTGTCTGATTGCGGTCTCTCTCAAGTCCAAGCACGCTGGAAAAGGTCCAGCAAATTGCATTGCATTGAAAACATCTCAAAGAAAATTCTATGCATTTCTCTCCATTCATCTCTGAAACATTCATCTCTGAAACACCTGCTGCAAGTCGTCACTGGTCGCGACGCATTTCGAATGGGGCATCTGTCTCATTGCCCCGGTAAGGCCAAGTGATATGGTTTGCTGACAAATCGTCTAAAGTATCGTGGAGATCCACGGCCACAGCAAAGCATGTACTGCGTAGTACGCAGAAGTCCCGTATTGTAAGAAAGCTAAAGAACATGAAGTTTTGGCGTTCGCCCATACCAAAAATGGTGCTCGTCAACTGCAGCTCGAACAGTTGCTCGTAGCGATCTAACTGTTCCTCCGTTGTAACATCAACTCGAAACTGTTGAAGTTGATTCATCACCCAGGTGCGGGCGGGTGGGCAGCAAAATTTCTGCCTTTGAGCCAGTTTTCCCAAGTGAATCCTTTTCAAATTATGTCCATGAATTTCAGCTTCCGGTGGAACTCGAAGACTGTTGTAAATAAAGCAGGTCACAAAATTTCAAACATCTTGCACTGAAAAAAGGTGAGCAACGAAATTCAAAGTGACGATATCGCAAATTAAATAACCTCGAAGAATTCAACTGCATTGATTTGTTTGGTTGTCTTGTTGCGTCCAAGTTTGGGTTCAAGAAACTCATCCACGCAACGAACAGGCGACGTATTTGCAGGCGATCGCAACAGACCAACCAATAAGCAAAACCAAGAACCAACCCGGCACACACACGCACACGCAACGCCAGCCCCACCCCTGCAGACAAACAACTGAGGCACGCCTAAGCAGCTTGTCTTCCATGGTGGGGTCCCCAGAAGTAGTCTACAGAGGGGGGAATGGCAAATGGGCGTGTGAGCGTGGGCGTGTGAGTGCAAGGTTAGTAAAACGCAATGGATCATCCAACGACCAACTGTCAAAATTGAAACTGCCGAAAACTGCCTTCTCTCAAAAAACTGTCATTCCAAAAAAAACGACATCTGAAATAAACATGTGCAAGTCACAAACTGCATCTGACTGAATGAATGAAAACGAAAGCCACTCGCACCAACTCTTTTTGACCAGGGGGGATTGGACATCCTGCGCTGTCTGATTGCGGTCTCTCTCAAGTCCAAGCACGCTGGAAAAGGTCCAGCAAATTGCATTGCATTGAAAACATCTCAAAGAAAATTCTATGCATTTCTCTCCATTCATCTCTGAAACATTCATCTCTGAAACACCTGCTGCAAGTCGTCACTGGTCGCGACGCATTTCGAATGGGGCATCTGTCTCATTGCCCCTCCTTCAGAAACTGATGCCCAATCACCACGCTGTCTTGCTGGCCAACTTCTGTCTTTTGCTCTGTTTTCCTTCAGCTAGCTTCACATCAACCTGTGTTTCACGTAAACTCATAAACTCATTGCGGGAGGCACACAACTCCCGGGAAAAACTTAACGGTAAATATCATCCAAAGAAAACTCCACCCGGTTCTTCACATCAAACAAGCTATGGTCGCCATTGGTGATGGCGTCTGCTGGAACATTTTCTTCTCGCGGCCTCCAACGAAGCCTCATGCGCACACCGTTCGCCAAGAGCTGTGATGACACCTGCATATGAACAGCCAAGAGAGGCCATTTCGTTGACATATTCTTTTCTTGTAAAGCCTGATTGGATTTATTGTCGGTACCACCTGTTATTGCCATCCTCAAGTTCTTTGATCCACCACCCTTCTCCAAATGTCCAAACGCAAAAGAAGCAGCGTAGGAGGCCAGTAACTCCGCCGCTGTTGAGCACCACTGTGATGCGCCATCTTCTTTGAAGAGCATTGGAAGTTGTTCCGGGAAAATTTCCAAGCTGAACCCATCTTGCCAATTTTAGGTTCTCCACACCATTCTCAGTGGACCAACCAGCCAAAACAATCCTGCCACTCTCACACTTCGCATCTGTTCTGAAAGCCTCTTTGGGCGAAAACCAAGGAGCTGTCGCATTAACCCAGTGCCCATGTTCTGGTTCAAGTTGGCTTCCATCTATAATAGTTATCTATTTATATACAATAAACAAATAACACAACACATAAAAACCTAAACGATCACCCTGCGGTTCTCGAGGCCAAATGCTTTCTCTCTCTTTTCGACTGCCGATGGTAGATCCAATTTCGAAGCAACAAAGATCTGTTTGATCCAAGCAGCAAGTTTTATCCCAATGGTCTGATGGTCATACTTTCCCCCATTTTCTATCTGACTGTTGGGATACAAACGCAGTTAATACTCCCAATAAAAAGTGTTGGATTCCGGCAGTCGATGAGAAAGAGAGAGAAAAATCATATTCTACGGAGGTTCCCAGGAAAGAAAGGTTTCAGGCGGATGCAAAGAGACGGATGTCTCCGGATGCCAAAGTTGATGGAGAGATATTGGAAAACGGTTGTGCAGCGCATGATTGAATGGCGGTTCACTGATAAAGTCCCAACGGCTCAGTGCGTCAGCTTCTTCATTTCGATCGCCAGAAATATGCGATAAATCCAATTCCATTCCAGAAATTGTGCATAGCAGCGTCAACTTTTCCAAAAAATGGTTCAAAGGAGGCTTAGTAGAAAATAATTTGTTGCCACCTGCTTCAGTGCCAGTGTTATCTGTTAATGAAGGAATCCGTAATGGAAATCTGAAGCCAGGAGAGCTGCGACTGAAAATGTACAGAATGGCTATCTGAGCCAGGGTTTCAAAGGAAGCAATGCATTTCTGCATTTCTTTGGTGACCGGAATGTCCAAGGCAGCTAAATCATTGAAAGTGAATTTTTCACTGAACCAAATAACTGTGCCGGATGGGAAATAAATAAAGCCCCCAATCTGACATATATCAGATGAGGCCATGGCATCTGCTGCACAACGACCTGACCAGAGTTGTTTGGGACGTAGACATTTAACCAGTGAAACAGATTGCAGCCAATCTGCATAGAGTTGCAGGACTCGATGAGAGTCAGCACTTAACGATCTGCGAACTGAGGAAGGATCACGAACTCGAAGCCACGTCCTACGTTCAGATAAATAAATTTGATGTAAATCTGCCTTGCAAGTGACAGCTTGATGTCGAACCGCCAGCAATTTGCTTCCAATCGGGATGCCTGTGCCTGTGGGAGTTTTGAAAAATTGTAAATCATCATCCAAGCAATCAATGACATGTTTCCAGTGTCCTGGATCAATGCTGTAATGGCTGGCAGGAATATGATATAAATCGCGATACAAAATTGGGAGCCAACATCGCATGAGCAAAAATATTTGCGTGATCCAGTTCAGCAGTCCCACCAATTTCTCAAGGGATTTCTTGGATGTCCGGGAGGATTTCCGCATCACGGAGATATACTCCCCAAGTTTGTCAACCTTGTTTTGTGGCAAGCTGATAAATCCAGCTGTGATGTGAAATTGCCAACCAATCCATTGAACCCGCGGGCCAAACTCAGTTTTGCGCCAAGAAATAGGAATGCGCAATACCTGTGCTAAAACGCAGCACATGCTTGACATAATCCAGGCAACCTTTTCAGGAAACAGGAAAAAGAAGTCATCAACGTAGATGAATCCAGCGTGTGTCCACCACAATAAAAAGTGGATGCAGCGCAAAATGAAGCTGCCAACCCTGGTCCAATGATAGGCACTGAAAGTGGCCCCATTACTTTATAAAAATAGATGGCCCCATCTAAAGTGAATCCCAGGAGTCCGCGGTCAGATTCGCGAATCACCACCAACTTGTGGGCTGATTTGATGTCGAGGGAAAATCCCACCATAGGTTCATTGGAGTTTCTTAAAGGGTATACACGCATGACGTCCTGAGCACTCGGAAGGGTTGTCTTCTCAGGTATGCTGCACCTGTTGTTGACTCCGCAGATTGATGAGTCAACAACTAATCTTGGCGGCCTGGTGTCACTTAATGCCAGGCCTAACTTCCCAATGGCAAGTTTGTCACCAAATTCGTGTTGAGCATCTTCCAGAGTGCCATCATATTTGTAAATCCAGCCCTTTTCCAGTTCTTGGAAGACAAGGTTGCGTGTAGTAGGCAAATCAGATTCTGCAGACTGCCAGTTGGTTGAATGCACTGACAGAGGTACCGTTTCATCACTCTTATCTTCTGTGTGGGGAAAACAACCAGAAGCAGGAATATCGCCATCGAAACCAGTGGGGGCCCCTGCCAGTAACATGGGAAATAATGTTGTATCTCGATCATCCAAAATACGAGATAATGCTGCCATGATCGAAAGCTGCATGGGTTGATCCGCTCTGATTGACCAATCAGGAACCAGTCCATGAGATTGGATGAATTCATTCAAGGTGTTTTTAAATGGGATCAAATCGTCTTCTGTAAAAGGTGGTTGAGCATCCCCTGAATTGAAAAAGGATTTCATTTTTTGAATCAACCCGTTATTTAACAATAGTTTCACCCATTGCCTGCGCAGAGATTGAAATGTGTCGGGGACAGCTCGAAAAGGTCGACTCCAGTCGGGTTCAGAAAATAAACCGCCACCATGTTCATAGCTCACCGGTAGATCACTAAGTTGTTTGATGGGAATATATTGTTGCACGGACGATAAATCCAAAAGTCGTCCAGAATCCGGAGAGCAGAGTGGTGATATGATGTCCGCTATGGCAGAACACATCTCAGACGGATATTCAGCCGTTGCCCGACTCTTGTAAGATCCATCTGGATTCCGGGCTCCTGCAATTTGCTCGTGTGTGCCCGGAGGATGGCCACATACTGTACCCAGGGATTTCATGGCTGGGTATGTACATGCAAGAAGCCAGCTTTTGTACCAGTTACGATTGTAAGCACAGGCAGGAAAATTAACCAAAAATAGAGCACAGAATTTTATGAATCGTCGTACCAGTGGTTCAAGCCAAGCCATGGAATTGGTGGGTTGCTCCAGGTGTCCGTGGCCTCCTGCTGCAAAAATTAGCTCCAAACACAATACGCTGCGAGCCATCAAGGTGTGGCTAGATTGAACTTTCTCCAAATCAGAAGGGCATAAGTTTGGTATGCCGTCCAAAAATTGTGGTGTACGCAATGCTGGAGGTCCGCCTGGTTGAAGCTTAAGACGGCTGTACTCCCCACAATTCGGTGCTGCCGCACCATACCCTACGAGTCCAGAAGCACAGATGCGGAGCAGAGGTTCAAAGAAATTATTATCCAAAAGATCCATTTTTGCATCGATCAATTTATCCACCGGAAAACATTTGCATCCACGCTCGAGCATGGCTGATGTCAGTGGGTGGCCTGCTCCTGCACAAATATCCAGAAAAATTCTGGATCCTTCAAGTGATGAAACATCCACAGAGGTTTGAACCGAATGCGGAATTGGCAAAGGAGGATGTGAAACTACTGGATCTGTCAAAGGGTCAACCATTGTTGAATCCTTGAGGATATCGTCCTGCGATCCAGTCTGTGCCATGGGCTGGTCCGTTGTATGTGAAACCATTGATGCCTCTGCATTATCATCCAAGAGTCAGTGAGGTTGTTGCTGATGATCAAATGCACTGTGTAGCTGTGCACACGCCTGTCCTGATGATAATGGATGGGCGCACAGGTGACTGAACTTGCAAGTGTCACCCTTCTGACATTTCCCGGATTGGTATTGCATGCAAAGCTGATGTCGTTTGCCTTGAACAGTGGCTTCGGTGACCCAAGTAGGACGAGAAGTAGTGTCGCCCTTTTTTCCGCCCTGTTTTGACTTCCCTTTGGATTTCCCACGACCTTTGGCCGACACTGGGGCCGCTGTAGAGCTGGATGTGGATGTTGGACGAACTGATATCTTCGGCCGAGGTTGGAGTAGAGAAGCCATATCTGATCGCAGGTGGGTCACTTCATGCAAAGCGTTGTCCAACGTAAATTTCTGGTCAATCACCAAGTCATGAATCATTTGCCAGAGGGCTTTGTCAGCTGCTTGAGATTCCAGGACATTCGGTGGCCTGAGTCCCGAATCGGAGTCCAGGCGTTGTGTGAGGAACCCCATGAATTTCAAGGTGTAAGCTCGAAGTCGTTGCAAATGACAGGCCCCTACCAGAGCTAACGCAGTGTTATGCACCTCCAGCATGTTGCGGATGGCGTTCACGCCCATACCTTGATTGTTGATGTCCAAGGATGGAGGCTCATCCCAAATTAATTGATGGAGTTGAAGACCTTCAATTTTCGGGATCTTTGGGCGTTGATAAATGACCATATCTTCCATTCTGGATTGTGTCATTCTGAATTTCCAGGGAATCCAGCGGTATTCCTGTTTGGAATGCTGATGGTGTGCAAGCGATAATAGTCTTGTCGATGGCATGGTCTCCATCGTAAGAACTTCACTAGGGTAATCTTCCAAAAATTGCTTCTTGAGTTTTGAAACTGTTGAGGATTGAATCTTGGGAGCAAACGACTCCGCCCAAGAACCCTCCTGCGAGACACCCGCTGATGGTGCTGCCGCTCCATCTGTTGATTCACGCACCGTAGACACAGTCTCCGGTTGAAGACGCTGCCACGCTACTTTCAAGTTTGCACGCTGAACCAGGGGAATCGGTTGATCTGAGATTTCAGCCCAGATGTCATCTGTAAATCCTGCTTTGGAATCCACTATGGCTGCAAAGTTTTGTGAGTTCCAGCCACCTGAAATCAAATGAGACGATAAGGCAGGATCCACGCCATTCTCTGCCAAATGATCTTCAAGATCGGGCAAAGCCATGAACCCCCAAGAGGAAGGTCGAAACGCAAGCTAACGCAAAGCAAAACGAAATAGCATGACTCAAATTGAATCTGTGAACTCCTGAAAGTATCTTACAGTTCAAGTTGTTGACATGAACACATGTATGCCTTCAAAGTTGCAGGTGATGAGTGGAAACAAAATTTGATATGATTAAAGCCTTTTTTGGTTTTTCTGGTTGGGCTTGAACCGTTAAGTCACGCCAAAGAAACATTTTTACCTGACAGGGATGCCGTGCTCTGTGCAACAAACTTGAATTGTGACAAATGTGGTGAAATGCATTAAATCAAGCTGAGTCTGCTGCCGCAGGTTTTTTGACCATTGAAGAGGGAGTCTATCACTCTCCTAAAGCTGATACCTGTTGCCATCTTTTGAAGCAAGCTGCATGCCGACACATACCAAATGTCGGATTGAGCTGCGTGTCAAACACGCAATTGTCACGGGGCAGTCTGGCTCCACATGCTGCTCGGAAATGTTGGTCATTCCATTTGGGTTGGCAGCAATCATCTGTCACTAGCATCATGTGTTGAATCCGGGTAACTCGAGCAACAACCAACTCCTCTGCGTCACCAGGAGTGACTTCTTCGGTATCTGAGCCAGAAGCAGAAGATGAGGATGAGCTACTCGAGGATCCTGATGATTCCACTGACTCCGACATTGCCTGAGGAGCCGTGGTTGGATCATGCGAAGCCGGAATTCCTTCCAAAATTGGGTCAGTCGTGGCATTGTTGAATTCGAAAAACTTCCAGTTATATGTTTGATACCCTTTTTTGAAACGCTCCAGCTGCACTGCCGGTTCCTGGATGGGTCGCTGAGATCCTCTGTGAAGAGGTGTCACAAACCTGTGACCACCTTGAACCTGCTGGATGAGGGTATCCTGTAGCGCCAACTGACCTGCTGTGTCATCCCGTGAGTAAAGCCGCATGCTACCTTGACGATGATGACCTTGTAAATGACGCTGTTCTTCTGTAACCAAGCCCTTTTGTGCCAACTGATTTGACCAACTCAATGTGGTGGTCTTCAATGAATGCAAAGTATAATCAGTAGGGTTGGCTGAGGCTGGCACCACTGAATTCTTCCAGGGAAGTGTGCAAAAATATCGAAGCCAGTGCAAAGCTTGGGAGTATGGCATGGGCACCAATGGACATGAGAATCCGTCTCCATGTGTCATAGGCAGCAAAAAATCGCTTTCTGATGGGGTGTCATGCGGATAAGACCAAATGATATCCAATGACGTGAGCCACTGCGCAACCCAAGACCAGCTGCCGTGTGAAAGGAATCCACGGGCCTGGATGGCCCAAGGTTGTCCTGATTGTGAAGTTTTGGTCCGATAACATGAACCTCGCAACGCAGTGATGCACCATGACAATGATTTCAATGAAACGCGTTGTCCGTCAGCAAAACGAAGGCCACCCCATAATAAGCAAAGGAAACCGCCCAATATCACTTGTTCTTGAACTGAGCATTCCTTCATAAGGAGGCGTCTTTCCCACTGCACTACCAGAAACAAACTCAAAGGAATTGATTCACGTCGTTCATGATTACTTGGATTGAAAAAAGAGTTGACAATCGGGTCATACAAGCTTTGCCATTCTGATATCATCAAAAGTTTCTGAGCCCATCGCAAAGCCTTGATGGCTGTGGAAGCACCAAAACCCCACTCGGAGTGTTTCCCTTCATGAGCGATTTGCAGCAAATCTGACAAACGATGACATCCAATGTCCTTCCAATTCCATGCGAAGTCCAATAAAATGCTGTAAATGCACTGCAATGTATTGATGTATTTGAACAAAGTAGAAGGTGCATATTTTTCCAGTAACCGTTGGCAATGCGTCTCAAATTGAGGGGATTGATGATATTCCTGCCAAATAGATGACAAACTGCCCACAGTGTTGATGAGAATCATCCAACGAGCGAGCAAATCCCTTGGAATGTTGGAGGCTCGTGCCACCAATGAACCTGCTTTGCATCCACGTGGTGCTGAAACATGTCGAGAAGACTTATGTTTACTGCTGTCCTGTGGCATGTTGACTGGAGCATCCACTGTTGGCTCAGGACCCCACTGTCGCGCTGTCGGCGTTGGAGGAGTCGTCAAAGAAACTGGTCTGAAAAATTCAGGTGCCGGTCGACCTCCTCGTTTAAGAGGTTGTTCAAGACTGGTAGCCCTTCTACAAACTGGAATTGGAATAGTTTTGGGGGCACTTCGTTTCTTTGGAGTAGGTGCTGAAATCAGAATCCAGTCATCTGTCACACTGTCAACATCCATTGAAGACCAAATTCAAGATGTGGCTGAGGCCGGAGACTGAGCTAAACTCGGAGTGTCCACTGTTCGGAAGGTCACACAAGGACGATATACGGAAATGCAAGCAATGCTGAAATGGTACAGATCCAGATTCAAAGGTCCATGTACTGGAGGTTCAAAAGGCCAGTAGTCTAATGGAGGAATGTACAGAAAAGCAAAAATGATTGTACGAAGCTCTGCGAATTGAATCGATTGGTCAGTGAAAATCAACTGAAAATTTCGATGGCCCACCACCGCTGGCCGAAGCATGAAGCGCCCCGCAAGCCCGAGAATGCAAACTAACGAGTTGACATGAAATGTTGTACTGTGAAGTGCCACAATTGACAGAATCTTGGAATGAATGAACGCAAAAAAAGCAAAACCGTGTTGCTGAATGTTGAAGCTGAGAAAACATGAAGCAGTTAAACAAGAAAATAAGCAAAAAACGCATGAAAGCCAACTTGAGCCAAAATGTTACCACATTAGTAAATGAAGTCCCACTACTCCAAAACATTAGTGAACAAGTACACTACACGTCTCTGAAGTTGTTCCTTCAAGAACCTCAAAGTGACGTAAACCAGCACGGGCACCCGCATCACCGTGCCTCTTGCAAGAACAGAGGACCAAGCAAAAAGGGGTGCCATGAATGGCTTCAACCACGTTACTACCCTTGCCACAAAGGATAGTCTGCCAGTGAATTCTATGAATGCCCGGCCCTGCACCATCCAACCGTTACGCTCCAACGTGTCGATCCATTGCAAGATCCACTCAGCTCTCTTGGTTGAGATACCAGCCACATGTCTGTCATATTCCAAACGGTACCCAACATAGTCCACTGAAAGACCCCCTTTGAACTTCCTGTAAGAAAAGGGGGTTCCCATAACCTCATACGCCAGAATGCTCAACCACATGGTGACAAATTTATCAGGCCCTAGGCATAGCAAGTGAAGATCGTCCACGTAGGCCAGCTGCATAGACCAGCGTCGTCCCAGAACTCGGAGGACCCATCTTCCCACGCAACCAAATAGCCTAGTCCACCAATAAGCTGCACTTGAGACCCCAAAGGTCCCCACACAATTCAACCAAAGTGTGCGCGATTCAGCGCTGGATCTGCATGCCAGCCTGGCCCAGTCTGCTTTCCTAATCAGTACACATCTATGCGCCTGTGCAATGTCTGCTGACAAACAAAATGCTGACTCCTTAGATTCCGCTGCCATGGCAACAAGCTCAATCACTTCCTCAGGGCCCGGAACTTCCAGGCGATCAAGTATGCGAATCTTGTTGTTCAGGTTTATGCCATGGGTCCCGTCATGAAGAGGTCTGATGGTGTTGTCGGGCTTCTGGATAGCACCCATTGCTGCAACCAAGACTGCATCTGCGCCAAACTCCTGCTTCGCTTCCGCAAGAGTTGTAGGAACCATCCTACCAAGCTGTTCGTCTTTTCTGAAGTGATCCTCAAGTTGATCGGAGGACATCTCTGCAGTTGCATAGTTTTTCATGTCCGGCTGAAACTCTGATGTCCAACTGTCTGAACTTCTCCCGCTTTCTGAAGACCTGGGGTGTCCGTGGGAGTTCACGTTCCACTCCAACAGGGACTCCCTTTGAGAAACACTCTTCACCCTGCACCAAAATCTCCCAATCTGGATCCCCAAGTTTGCATAACGACTCGGCCAGGAGATGAAGGTAAAATTGTTGCCTGTATGGACAAGACAGCAAAGTATCTTCCTCTCCTGGCCTCAACAGTGATGCTATCTTGCGCCTCAATCCCTGTAGCTTGTCCTGATCAAAGGGTGAGCTGAGGTGATGACCAAGAGCCAGCTTGAATGCCTCCTTACGCAAGTCTCCTATTTCTTCTGTAAGAAATTCAAGTAGTAAAGATGCCACCTGCTCTGCATGGTTTGTCGCATCTTCACTGGCCAACTTGTTTCTTGCACCCGGCATCCAACGTCCCGGAGAGCACAGTCCAAAACCGTCTGTAAATTCTCTGTGGCAGTTCTCATACCTACAAATAATGGGCTGTCCAAAACAAGCTGAAGTTGCTGGGTCAAAGGTTTCTGCATCTTGCTGTCCCAGGTCCTCTGGGCTCCCTGGTTGCTCATCTCCAGATGATATAACTATCTCTGATGCTGCTGCTGCGTCCATTGCTATTGCTGGAGTTGGGTTTTCCCCGAAAGAAGAAGGAGATGTTGAAGGATGAGGGCCAATCTGCACTGTTGATGTCTCTGCTGACATCACCGTAGCATGATCTGTAGGAGAGGCTTGAAATGTTGAAGAGGAAGTCGATGCCGCTGAAGCATGCTCCCCCTGCATCGCCATGCAAAGTGGCAACGCTGACACCACATCCAAAGCTATAGCCTCACACAAGGCCTCCGGGTAGGCCGCTGAGCCAGCTGTTTTCCATTGTTGCAATTCAATGTTGAAGCCCAAAAGGGGCTCATGAAATTCATGTGGACATCGGCCCAATGGCCCTGCATAAAAACCATTGTCATCAAACACCGGCCATTGTAGCCCATATTGTTGGCAAGAGGGTAGGTTTGACATCAGCCTCGTGGGTTTGGAAGTGCTTGCCCCATAAACGCATTGATGTATCGCCCATGAAGCTGCTGATGTCAACTCTGCCAACTCCCTGATCAATGGAAGTTGCCAAATTGAGGCTGGGATATCCCCTGCCGCTGTCTTCCCTAAATCCTCCGGGTGTTCACACCAGTAAAATTTGCTTTGCAAATGCATTCTTCTTGCCGCTTCTGCACATTGGAATATAAAGAAATTTGCCGTTTGGGCCACTTCTTGGTCGCTTGACCTCAACCATGAAAACCCCAAAGGCCATGTCGACGATCTAAGAGGTCTGGGTCCCCCATGCTTGAAATGATGTCGCGCCCGGCTGAAAGTGTTGCAGGGCGGTGACCACAAAAGCACATCTACTTTGCCCTGGTCAATGTCTGCATATAAATCGTCCCACAGCTTTGTCTTTGATAAATCATGTGAATGATGCTGTTCCAAATCAAGCTCTCTTAATTCAAGGTGAAACTGATCCTTGGCCAGCCGTTGCAATTGTTGTCTAATGTCACCGCGCCTTGATGCGCCCGCAAAAAGATACACCACTCGCAATACTGGCAGCTCTCCGTCCGTTTGTCAGGTTTTGTTCGGTGGTGTCTCCGCAGCTCCTTTCTGCATCATGCCCTGGTAGTGCTGCCACATCGGATGCGATTTGCCGCATCCACGAACTCTGCAAATGTGAACACGGTTGCAACCTCCTGTGCATCCCTGCGCATTGTAAGCAAAGCAGATCTGTTTGTTGTCATCTGTAAATGAAACCAAAGAGTGCTCAGAGTTTCCCTTGCCTGTTCTCTGTTTCGATTTTCCTTTGTTGCCCTTCTTTCCACCTCCCTTGTGCCACTTTTGTGGCGGGCCTTGGTAGTTGGACCCTTCAGTCCTCCTCCAACTGCGGTTGCCTCCCAATGAAGGCTCCTCAGATCTGCCTGACCTCCCTTGCAAGGCAATGGGACTTGTGAAGTACTGCTCTTTGAGTTGTGCATCTGAGCACACCTCTTCCAAACATTCTCTCAAGGCTCTACCCTGTCTAAACGCCCTCTTGATGGCCTCCTTGCGTAGTTCGTATTCATATGACAACATCACGCTCCAAGGTGGTCGCAATGTGACCATCTCTGAGCTCCCCGCTGCTGCACCTGGTCCTGGAATTTTCAAAAGATAGCACTTGTCACCTAGCAGGTAGTTGGTGCACTTCATCCAGTCATCAGGTGTGAGCCCTTGCATCATCGGATTGTTGCGGTACTTGGCAGCAAGGTAACACCATGTATTGCCTTCAACTCTGAGGATGGTGCGGAGTTCCTCAGTGCCCTGCGGGAGCTGACCCTTCTGTCTGCTCTTGACAATTCTCACATGACCTGCACTATCCAGAGTTGTCTGAATGCCCATTGTCTTTGCAGTCTTTTTACTGGTTACTTCGGTCAGGTAGGAAGCCATAGGTTCGTGAGCTTCCAACTCCTCGATCTTCGTTGACAAGTAATCATCCGAAGGCTCAAAAGTCTCTTCAATTTCACCATGGGTTGCTACATATGCTGCTCTCATTGCCGCTCGATCTGTCTGGGTGACAGGCCGCGTGACGCCCAAGAGACGTGCTTCGGCCTTCAACTCTGCTTGTTTTGATGCATACTCCTTAGAGGCCTCCCAAGCAGCTACCACTCCAGCTACGGCTGCACGATTCTGCAAGTTATTCTCTTCGACCTGCAAATCATCACGTAGTGCCTGTCTGACACCTTGCCTTGTATCTGCAATTGCACTGAAGCGTCTAAGTTGCGTGAAAACTTGAGTCAAATTGTATTGCAGTGCAAGTGGCACTCCGTTCTCCTGCAGTATGAAGGCCAAATCGCCTTCCACCCGGTCATGGATGTAGGCCTTCATGTCAGCCTCTGTTATCCCTGCCGGTGCATTCATGGCTGCTAAGTCTCTCAGCTTTCTGAGCCTACACAGCGCTGGGAATCTCAAACTTCTTCCCACGCGTCTTGAAACTGTTTCTCACAATTTTCCAAACTGATCAACCTAACTTCATGTCATTCCTGGTCTTTTCTCCAGGCTTGTCTGTGCAATCTCTAACATGACATGGGTGCGCTCGACTTCAATCTGAAAATGCAAACTGAAAACGCAAAACCTGAACCTACCTCCAAACATCCAAAACACAACTCGGCACCACTGAACTGCGCAGCAAGTTTTCCACTTTTGCGGAACAAGTGTGCAAATGAAACATATGCTGAATGCTTTGCCTTCAGTCACTTGAGTCGGAACTGTCTGAGCTTGACGACGCCTCTTCTTCACCCTTCAACTTTGGTTTGCACAACTTGCAAACTGCGTCAGCTACATCACCAGTAATGCTGTAAACAGGTTGAGTGACAAGACAACGTTCCTGACGCACCGCACATGATTTTGAAACATGCAAGCGTCGAAAAAATGTCTTCCGAGAAATGGTGATGAAATAAGGTGCTTCTGGCAAGCTGTCATCATTTTGAGGATCCGGCTCTCCCTGAGTTGGAGCGTTTTCCATTCTCGCAGCAACTGGTCCTACCTCCAACAAAGGAAAGGTTCCTCCCAGGTGCCAAGCTCCTAAATTCAATGACCAAACCATGACATTGTGCCTACGTGCAGTTGTGATGGGTCCTGCATTGACCCTTACTGCAAAGGCCTTGACCCGTTCCATGAGCTCCTCCTCGACCAAGCCTGGTGAAGGGGTTCCTTCAAGCAGGAAACGGCAAACATCTTTTTGGACCCGATGAACAACTTGTCTTGACGTCAAAACATAATCTTGAGAGCCATGCTTAGAATAACTCCACCTACCAAGATAGTCACGACTCTCCTTTGGGATTTGTGCTGCTGCAGCCCAAGACGGCAACGTATGTCGTGCACTATGTCCAGTCCAAAATGAAGCCATCTCTGGTGAAATCAACAAATTACCATGGTTGAGTGCCAGGCCGCCACCACGTCGCACCACCGTCGGTAAAGTAAGGAGAAGCCTCCTCAACATGGTCGCCAATCCTTCAGGTTCCAAGAAATTCGGCCCTGATTTCATCCAATCATCTGAAAATGAAACTGCAAAGAAATCCCTCTGAAAACTCACTTCATCATCTTCTAAAAGATCCATGCCCAATTTCAACCAGTCCACACCAGTCAAACTGACCTCACGTGCAATGAAACCGTGCAACTCCCCTACAGGCTTGCCAGGTCCACTAGTCTTAGTCCGGCGCAAAACGAACTTGAGGCCCAGCTGTGAAAGTTCCAGTGAAGATGGATCGACGTTCTGTAAATCATCACAACGCATCGTTCCCCAGAGCAAAGGCAAAAGCACAAATGAATAAAACCTCTGTCCAATCGGTGTGGTGAGATTATCCAAAACCAACTCTGAGCTCATCTCGATTGCTACTGTGTACAAGTCCGCCTGTCTCTTTGGCGGTGCATCACGGCTGAGCTCTGCTGTCCAAGCTTTCACTGTCTCCAGCCACAATCGATCTCCAGAAAGCCTATGTTCCGTGGGCACCTGCCCCACCAACTCAAGCAACGACAATGTGGTATGTATGGACATGGGAACCGTCTTACCCATTGGCTGCACCTCATTACGCTCCTCAAGATACTGAATCAGCTGTGCCACACTTTCAGGCCATGGTTTGCCTGTTGTAACCACGAACCAGTCCCTGACACGCTTCCAAGCTTTTGCACGATTGCGCAGTGTCTTTGACCGCCGCGCACCAAATGCTCTCACCCATGCCGTGTTGACATTTGCCAGACCATTGAAAGAAGCCACAGCAGGAAGTTTTGATTCAGTGATAAACTCAGCCAAGACCAAAGCCCATTTCTTCTTCGCTAATTCCTCTGCATCTGACCTTGCAGTGCTGCTCGTTTTTGCCCTCTTAGCCAAACGACTTTCCAAAGCTGCCAAGCCCAAAGTGGGACTACCTGTAACAATGCTCTCATAGTTATCTGCCATCGTTGACACTAGACCAGACTGGTCCAACTGCTTCCCAAACTCAAGCCTATCCCTGACACCAAACAACTGCATCCTCTTCAACCTACGGTGAGAGGTTGCTTGCCAGTCGAACAATGCCTGCGCAATGGCCTCACGGCGGGCCACACCATAGCTATTTCCCAGTGCATCCTCGACCAGGTTTCTCGCACCCTCCAGATCATCAAATGCAGTTGCAACTTGTAATGCAGTTGGAAAACAAGGCTTCAATGCCTTTACCAAAGAAGCATCAATCCTATCCAGTTCAGTCCAGTCATCCATGCGCGCTGTAAGTCCCTAGCCTAAATCCAGCAAAATTTCTGCCTTTGAGCCAGTTCTCCCAAGTGAATCCTTTTCAAATTATGTCCATGAATTTCAGCTTCCGGTGGAACTCGAAGACTGTTGTAAATAAAGCAGGTCACAAAATTTCAAACATCTTGCACTGAAAAAAGGTGAGCAACGAAATTCAAAGTGACGATATCGCAAATTAAATAACCTCGAAGAATTCAACTGCATTGATTTGTTTGGTTGTCTTGTTGCGTCCAAGTTTGGGTTCAAGAAACTCATCCACGCAACGAACAGGCGACGTATTTGCAGGCGATCGCAACAGACCAACCAATAAGCAAAACCAAGAACCAACCCGGCACACACACGCACACGCAACGCCAGCCCCACCCCTGCAGAAAAAACAACTGAGGCACGCCTAAGCAGCAAGGAGAGACTTGGCTAGGATGAGGCAAGCCTCGAGGCAGGCCTCGAGGCTATGGAAATTGCAGCAAAGGAGAGACGTGCTTGGCTAGGATGAGGCAAGCCTCGAGGCAGGCCTCGAGGCTATGGAAATTGTCATTGATGCTATGGAAAGTGGAGCAAAACAGACACTTGGCTAGGATGAGGCAAGCTTCGAGCCAGGCCTCGAGGCAGGCCTCGAGGCAGGCCTTGAGGCTATGGAAATTGCAGCGCGGCAAAGGAGAGACTTGGCGACTCAGTTGGGCCGAGGCCCGCGTAAAAATTGCAAGAATGACCTTGACGATCAAAACTTGACGGGAATTGGAGTAGTTTTCAACTAGCAAACAGCGCACCTCCGCTAAGCGTCACTGATAGCGCTATTGCCCCTTCCGCAAGGATGTTCTTTCAGCAGTTGCTCACATAGGTCCTACACAACACATCCCTTGACTTTGCCTTTCGCTCTTGCCTTCAACTATCTTTCACTGCCCCACTTCACAACCCCCATCTCATTCAGGCAACAGTTGGAGCATAAAGCTCCGCAAAAATTGTGAAAGTCACATTGATGCGTCCCATTCACGGCAACCTTTAGTAGAAGGCGAAAGATTGGCGCGCTATGATGCGGAAAATTTAAACCCAAGTTGGTCTAAAAATCCTTTCTACGTAAATCCCAGGACCTACACCTAGATGCAGTTCCTACAACCTACGCAAAGCGAAGCTTACGCAAAAAACGCGGTCCCCACACAAGCTCTCAGGTTCGGAACAGCTCAACCCTTTTGGACACTCACTCAGAGGTGCGGTAGCAAAACACGAACCAAAGCAAAACAAACAAGCTGGACTAAACCACGTGACTGTCTCAGACTACTTCTTTGCAGTTTCCTTGGCTTTGAGCCAAAAGCAACCATGCAGCTTGACTGCAACAATTATTTAAACGTTCAAGATCCGAAGATCTTTCTCTCAAAAACTTTCTTCCACTAACCAGAGACAGGCAACAATGACACTGCGGTCGCTTCTGCCCCCCTCAGACGACCAGCACCCCATTTTGTCATCTCACCATGATGACGGGTGCTTGGTCTGTTGTCATCATTGAGGGGCATAGGCGACCACCGTCTCGAAGTTAACCTGTCAACCAACAAAACTCAAACGACGTGTCGACTATTCACAGTTACACACTCAGCTACAAAAAAGAAGCCACTCTAAACTCAGTTTAGTCCAAAGTTCAAAGTTCAAATTGGTTCACCACAGTCCGGAAACTTTCTATGAAAGTTTCCCACAAAAGTAAAGTTCACAGAACGCAACTTTCGCTGAAAAATTCTGTGGGTTTCTGGAAACTCCATTCCAGGTTCTTTGAATTCATAAACACTTTCTATGCATACGATTCCACTTGCATTCAAATGTTCCCATTCTTGAATTACTTCAAAATGCACTCATGCATTCAAACGTCCTCAATTCAGATTGATTCCCAACGCATGCAAACGTTCACAGCTCAATCCTGAACTCCTCAGTGTCATCAAGACATGTCCGAAAAGTGCTCCAGGCTTCGCATCTATTTACAAATATTCACGGTTACCATAAAACAGATCCCAACAGATAACAGTCTCACCGCATCCACGAATGTTATATCAATGCAATATCCAAACACAATCCTGAACACTAAGATGACACTACCTCAATCGGTCGGGCCAATTGATGTAGTCTCACCCGAGCATTCTTCCGGTGACCGGAGTCACGAATTCCAAATTGCTTCCTCAAAGAATGCCAGCATCGAATTCTCCAAAGCAGAATATGCACGCCCCACCAAAGCAGAACTCGCACACTGTACCACTTCAGCTCGTTTGTCCAAATATGCACAAAGCCAGAAGCTTTCCTCGCTCACCAGCCACAAATACTGGATATTTCCACACCCCCTTTCGAGGGAAGCTTCGTCAATCCATGGCGTCGCTCGAACGGATACCCATACAGAGCTAAAACTGTTTCAACCCCCTACCAGCACCCCTAAGAAGACCCGCCAGGATCAAACACTTCCTTACCCTCAAGTTAGCATGGTTACGCGTTGCGTGACTTCAGCTGAAATTCAAAACAGTCCATACAAGGCCCTAAAAGCGTGGCATTTCTTGGCCTTCTCTGTACATGTCTACATCCCGCGAGATGATACTTAGCTCCCGTAGGAAAAACAGCAAGGTCACACACACCAGGTGAGACAAACGGATCAGTCTGAATCATCACATCCGTTTGGGGTTTCAAAGAAACAAAAAAACATCTTCCTCATCTTGGCAAACAGCCAACAGGTGAAAAATCCAGACAGCCAACCACCAAGGAAGACCATCATCAAAAAACACCAGGATTTCTTCCATTCGGAAGATTCCCAAAAAGAAGTGGAAACGCAACAATTCGTCTAGCTAGATCCAAAAAAAACTTCCATTGCTACCCTTTGAGATTACTCGCAACAAACAACGCGTCCATTGTCTGTCCATACAGCTGTTCAACTGTCACATTCTGTTTGACTCTCTGTGACATTTCATCACAAACAAACTGCAAATACATCAACTGATGTACACGCACATGTATGTGATTCAGTGTGTGCCCTCCGCTCGCGCACACGTATACGCCGCATTACACAGCGCCAACGCAAGTGACTTGTTGTACTTACCAGTCTCATTCCAGTTCACATCATTAAGATGCGCATGTTCCTTGCACCTGCACGCTTGGAAACGCCTCAACGGTTTGACAAACTCCTCAGAGTCACACACAAACCTCAGCCTCTTTCCTACAGGTTTACCTGAGCGCGATACGTACCCAAGTTTGCACAACCTCACGACTGCTTCCTGTTTGAGACCTAGTTCATTCAGCAAGTCCTTCACGCCTGCATACGACCACAACACATTGTTCACTGGCCATTCTAAGCTGAACGTATCAGCTCTCTTGCGGTACGACGGCAACCTTTTAAGAAGGGGTTCAAGTTCAGCGAACCGAATATCCTCAGAACCTGCATCCTGGCGCAAGTACCGTATTGGAGACCCAGACGCACATGGACAGCTCGCATGAAAATGCACGTGCGGACGCATCCCAAGACCCAACGCACTTGCACACAAGCGATCAACCCGTTCAAGCACGCTTCGCAACGTCGAAGCTTCTTCCCCATCAGCGGTTACCCCAATGTACGCAAACGCTGTGTTGTGTTGTGACAGTGCACTCTGTTCATCGCAGCAAAACTCAACGAAAATCAGTGCAATCGTTTTCTCACGAGGTTTCAGTGTTTGCAAAGGTTTGTCAAACCCTTTCAAACCCTTTGACCCTTCGGTTACTGCTGGGCTTTTCGGCTGAAATCCACAAGTTGCCCTATGAACAAAGTGGTAACTTGAACACTTAGTTAGGATATCTGACAAGTTTGTAGGACCCTCAATCCAACCAAGCTGAATATACCTCTCCAACTGTTCACGCAACCAAAAGATTCTCACTTCCGTATGTCTGGATTTCCGTGGAACATCAAGTGCTGAAAGCAACTGCTTGGCCGACTCGGAGTCGGTAAGCATCAAAATAGGAAACTTCCTACCTTCAAATCCAGCCAAGTCCCCAAAGAAGTCATTCACCATCTTTCTCACTAACGGTAAGAGACCCATAGCCTCCTGTGCCGTCTCTTGAATGGCAAACATCTCGGATTCGCAGCTTGACAGTGATGTGCACGTCTGATGACGTGAAAACCCTTTCACAAGCGAAGACAACACAAAAATAAAAGCTCCAGAGATACCCTTTCTTTGAGTCGCCCTCATGGGTGCATGTGACGCATCACAGGAAACCACCATCAATGGTTCCCCTGACACCTCTACAGAACCCTGAAACAAGGATTTCAAATTCCCAGGGGATGGAAAAGACAATTCTTGGTCACCATCAAACAACAGAAACCTAAGGACCTGCCTCATGGCCTTTTCATGACGACCATCCGGAGCATGTTGACCCGTAGCCAAATATGCTATGAAAATATGGAGATCCTCTCGAGTTTGTGACAACCATGCCATCTTCCCCAAACTCCTACGATATCTTTGATACGCTTCAGTGCTCAATGGTGGTTCCGGAGGACCATCAAGTGTTTCTCTCAAATTAGGCACAACTGCCTTTCCCAGTTTCATCTTTTCCATTCCATAATCACGATAACAAGAATCGAGATACCCTGTTGCGACTCCTACCAACAGTTCTTTTGCCCCAGCTTGCCGACGAATCACCCTTCCAACAAACTTCATGGACCCCTCTTGATTCGGAAACAGTTGACCCGTGACTTTCGTGGGAACTACCGCATTCAACTTTTCCCAGATTTTCTTACCCATGTCAGGTTTGTTTGAGAAGATTAACAAATCATCCACATAAATGATCATGACTGTACCTGGTGCGGTAAACACACATGGACTAGTAACATCACATGTCAATCCAAGTGGTTTCACAATCCCCTGCACATACTCCAACCAATCAAGAGAAGCGGATCTGATTCCATTGAGACTTTTACTCAAATCCATGAACAATGGTGAGTTATCTGGCCAACTCATCGATGCCGAAAACCTCACAAT